CCCCAAAACCCCAAAACCCCAAAACCCCAAAACCCCTTTTTGCTTCTCAAAATTGCTTAACAACTTTAAAGATGAATACTGCTCTTGATCGAGTGGAAGGTCTCCTTCACTTGCTGGAGCTTATCCTTTATAGAAAGCTCCTCTCCTGTAGGGAAATGAGGCTCAGCCTCATAAGACTGCTCAAGGATTTGGCCTTCACTTGCTCCTTCTCCTTCAGATTCGTACTGGTCTAGATCCCCTTCTCTGTAGCTATCTCTTCACTGATTAGGATAAAAACTGGCATACTTATGGTCGATCTCTGGAGAGATGAAGTTTGAAGTGTCATTCCCACTCAGATTCTGAGAGTATATATAATTCTGACCCTGTAACAGCCTGTTCTTAGTAAAATCTCCAGGATTCAAGGTAGAATAAAATGTGTTTGGCCTCTCGTCACATTCAGAGGGATTAGTGGTTCCCATCTGAGCCTTGATCAACATTAATTCACGATCAATGATCTTCTTCTCTTCAACCATAGCATGATATGCTCGTTCCACATCGGTTTTGGAGTTTGAAAGGTAGTTTACTTCTCGCTTGAGCCTCTCGTTCTCCTCCCGCTTTTCCAAAAGTGTCCTTTCCGTCTCAAAAATGACATCGTTTCGTCTCTTTTCATGGATTTCAACTCAGTGAAGCTCGTCTTTAAGTGATGAGTTCTTGAGATTAGCTTCTTCAATCGAGCCCTCGATGGTTGAAAGATTTTTCCTCATGAGTTCAACCTCTCTCCGAAGATCGATGACTGTCGAAGATAGCTTTTCCTCCTTCGCAGTGGCTCTAAGCTTCTTTTCTTTACACAGAAGTTCATTCTCAGATTTATTCTTCTCTTCTTCAAGACTGAAGAGCTGTTTCTGATTGGAAATGTACTCTGAGAATAATCTTTGAACTTCAGTGCTGGGAATCGATCTTTCTAAGGTGCTTAGCATCTCAGTAATAGACTCTTTCTCATACAATAATTGAAATGTTTGACTTTCAAGATCCTTTATTTTCCCGTTTTCACATCCTTTGATCCTATCAGCATCTCTGAGCTGACGCTCCAGCCTTTCCTTGTCTTTAGTAAGAGATTTCAACCGAGAAATCAACTTCTGGTTCTCTTTTGAAATTGATTTCAAATCCTGCTTTAATCCCTGAAGTTGTTTTGATGACTTCCCTTCTCTTTTAAAGGAGCATGATTTTTCTGACTCAATTTGGTCAAGTTTTGCAGTCAAGGTGCTGACTTCCTTCCTTAAGGCTTCTTCTCTTCTTCGTCACCTGTTTTCACCATTTTTAAGGTTCATCTGGTGGTCCTCAAGTTGGTCTACACGTTCGCTAACATTAAGATATTTCTTCTTAAAATTAGCAGCGTTCTTCATCTGAATTTCAAACTCTTCAGAAGAATGGGAGATCCAGTCTTCGATCTTCTCTAACACGTCCTGGATCTGGTCAGCTTGCTTAGCAGGTTTGATCTTATCAGCAAGAATTATGAAGTCTCTATACTTCCGGCTGATAAGTTTCTTGTCGAAATGAGTTTCCTTAGCATAACTTAAGAAGTCCTCGTTGAACTCATCCACTAAGCTAGCACACTTGTTGGCCTTATCCTTATTAATCTTACACAACTTCTGGAGTGCAGAGTTATCATCATCAAGAGTCTTAATCTTTTTCTTAAATTCTTGAATTTTAGAGGTGGCATTCTTCTGGTCATTCTCCTTGACAGTTTGGAGCTCGCTAGTTAAGTTATCATTTTTTGTATTCATCTGCCTTAATTTTTCCTCTTTATCCTGCTTTTGGAGCTCAAGATTATTGTACCTGTACTTGAGATCTTGCAAGGAATGCTTGCATTCTGCGTAATCTTGAGATAGACGCTCAATCTCCTTAAGTTTCTTGCCAAAATCATGGTTCATTTCCTTATATTTGGCTTCTTTTTGACTGAAATTCTCTTTCAACTGATCATATTGCTTAAGGAGCTCAACATAGTCGGAAGACTCGGAGACATCTTTGGATTGCTTAAGCTGTTTAGAAAGAGTGCTATTTTCTCTGGATAACTTGTCAATTCCGTTTTCTAACTCTCTAATAGTCGAGTTAAGATCATGTCATTGAGAAGTGAGCTTAGAAATTTTCTTTGTCTTGCTTTCAATCGTCTCTTCTTGCTGCTTGTTCATATTTTTAAGGGCAACTCATTTGTTTTCTAATTGTTCAAGCTGGATTCTCTTCTCACTATCTTGCAGATCATTAGCTATCTTTTCTATATCTTGATCGTATTTCTCTCGTATCTCCTCGAGCTCAGCTTGAGTTTCATTACAAGTAGTCTCAAGAGCTGCGTAATTATCCTGAATTTTGCGAAACTTCGCCTGAAGTTCACCATGATCCTGTTTCAGAGAATTAAGGCTGAGCTCTGCTTGATCTTTGGCTTGAGTGATCTTCTTCAAATCTTCACCAGGAGTTCTTCCTGAGGCCTTAATAGCTTCAATTTCCTTCTTAAAGTGCTCTTCTACATCTGTAATTGCTCTTGAGCTCTTCTCGTTTTTGGCTTCAGAAATTCTGAGTTTTTCTGTGAGGTTTTGGATGTCAGTCGCTTTCGATTTATTCTCAATTGTTCGTGTCTGCTCGAGATTAGTTAGTTGCTTTTGTAACATTTCAATGGTCTCTTGAGCTTCTTGAAGCTTATTCTTAGTAAGAGTATCCTCGCCCTCCCCTCCAAAGGTATCGAAATTCTGTGTGTACTCAGAATCCATATTTGAGCTACTTCTGAACCGAGCCTGAATCTCTTCCTTCAACTGTGAATTCTCCTTTTGAAGAGACTGGAGAAGCTGTTCTGTGCTTTCCTGTTCCTTTAGGAAAGACTCTATGTACTCTAAGAGTTCATTCTTCTCCTGTTGGAGCTGATTGACTGCCTCCTTCTCGCTTTTGAGGAGTTGCACTAGCTGTTCTTCTTCGTTGTTTTCAATGAGGCTTTGGATATACTCTTCCATTTGTGTTATTTTTGATTCAGAATTGACTCACTTTTCCCTCAAAAATGTATTCTCTTCGTGAATATTAGCAGCATTTTGACCAGAAATCTCAGAGGGGACAGACGGATACTTCTTCAGCTCATTAGCTAGCTTCTCGTTCCTTTGTCGAGAATAAGAGAGGTCTTGGTCCTTCAGAGAAATTTGCCTCTTGAGCTCAACTACTTGGTGTTGCAACTCTTGGAAATTATCGTAATTATGCTTGGTCTGAGAGTCTAAATTGGCGGCAGTTTCTAAAGACCCATCATTCATATTCCTGCTTACATTAGCTTTCTGAGACACAGAATCACTCAGATTAAGAAAGGAAGAAGACACATTCTGTGAATTCTCCCCAGTGCTGGGATACCTCTGCTTGTGTACCCTCTCAGGGTCAAAATGAGAGGGCACAAAAGCCAATTCCCTTGGTGGTTCATAACTTCCATCATTGCATTCGTACTGTCATGGCTCTGGTATTTCATCAAGAAGGGATTTCTGGCCAAGACTTTGCTCTGATGGCTCGTATTCCATGGCTTCTGCTCCGTCTTCGTCAAAATCATCTTGGGTGTTTCTCTGATAACTTGAACTCATTTTCAAATTTAAATTAACAATTGGGGTTTTGGGGTTTTGGGGTTTTGGGGTTTTGGGGTTTTGGGGTTTTGGGG